CTTTTTAAAATAATTTTTCATCGTTTTGATGTTTAGGCTCCCATTTTGGCATATCGAAATGAAGTACGAACACAATTAAACAACAAAGCAGCAGTTCATAATGCAGCACAACTAGGTCTTCAGCCAATGGTATGTGTCGCTCAAGATACATGCAAAGGAAAACTAATTGAAGATCCTATACTTATGAAAAAATTATTGGAATTATCTGACAGCAAGACGGAACACTTACCCGGTTTGTTGCCATTTGTTCCTGGGATGCCAGTTATTTTCACGCAAAATCTTGCTATTGAACTGGGTCTTATTAACGGCATAAATGGAATATTTCGACAATTAGTCTACAAGGCTGATTCTGTATCAATAGATGCTCTATCTAACACATTTCCGAGCAACACACAGTACGTGCATCGACCTTTATATGCATTAATTGAAATTGCTATATCAAAAATTGAATGTAACCTTGAAACACTTCAACCGAAACTCGTCCCAGTACCGTTAATGGAACAAACGTTTCGTTTTGACGTTACTGAGATGCTTCCAAAAAATAAAAAGCCAAAATCGAACCAGAAAGCAATGTTGTCAATTAAACGACGTGCACTACCACTTGTACCTGCTTATTGTATTACAACACATAAGAGTCAAGGTCAAACTTTGAGTAAAGCCGTGATTGACCTTAAACTGCCGAATGAAACTGAAGATATTGTCGCTGTATATGTACCGCTATCACGTTTAAAACGTTTGATTGATGTAGCTATTTTACGGCCTTTCGATTACGAAGTTCTACGAATCAAACCAAGTAAATCGCAAGTTGCTGAAATTGAAAGACTTGATAAATTGTATATCGATACCCGATTTCGATTTGCTGAGTATTTTCAATAATTTTTCTTTATTATATAGAAATGCATGTTAGTTGCTATCAATTGTTTTGCATATTATGTTTTTTTTACTGAAATCTTCAATGTATTTTTTTGTATTAGTATCGCTTTTATAGTAGCGTTGTAATCCTTTTCTAGTTGATAGTGTGAAAAGATATTTGCCGGTTATAGATGCATTTTCCTTTTCACATCCGTCTGTTTTTTGTTTGTTTTAATCACACATTCAATATATTTGTATTATCTTATTATGCATGAAATTTTTTGTAAATAAAATAAAATATTATTAGTCATATCATAGAATCTTAGTATTTGTCAAATAATTCGATACCATAGTACAAACTGCGACATGTTACAGATCTATCTACAATGATAGTCAGTAAAAGTGTAATCATAATTGATAACAGTGAACATTTTTTCCATAATACATCACGGTATAGGATTGTTCTGTTCAGGCTACATTCTATTTATTCAAGCATAGATATCGATATGCAATAGTATAAAACGTAGTTTTCTCTATTGTTGTCTCGACATAATACTAATTTCCGTGCTGCTGTACGAATTCGGAAGGTCATGCACTTCTTATCAACCACGCTTAATTTTCATTATAACATTATCTATTAAAATCTATCTCGTTTCGTGATATTCATAAGAAAAAAGCAAACCTATAATAGTTTTCACTATCAAGACATATACAAGAGATTTCTACAACATTAACTTTGAAAGCAGCATGTTTTACTAATTTGTAGATAAGAATGATGATTTTATATATGAAACCACGATAACTCGAATCCAACTATCCTAACTACCCTATTATAGTCAAATCAATTCATATTTAAACACATATACGTGCATACTTTTAATAATAGCACAATTGTGTTTATAAACAAAGCAGCATTTACACGTACAAACACACAGTCGAAGGTCAAGCGAGTCGCTCCGACACGCGTTACTTGTTTTTATTTTTAGATTTTGATGTAAATTCATTATAATTATCTTCATCTGAATTAATGTTTAAACTCGAAGATATTTTCCTTTTAGATTTAGATCTAACTTCATTACAACTTATAGATTTAGATGTAACTTCATTATAATTATCTTTACTTTTAGATTTAGATGTAGATTCATTATGATTATCTGTATTACTTTCAATTGTAGATTCAATATAATTATCTTTTTCAAATTTAAGTGTAACTGTATTATAATTATCATTGTTAGTTTTAGATTGAGTATCTTTGTCTGAATCAATTCTTATATTGGACGATATTATACTTTTAGAGTCAACTGTAGATTCATTATTAGATTTCAGTGAAAGTTCAATATGATTAACTTCATCTGAATTACTTTTTAAATTGAAAGATATTTTATTTTTAGACTCAGCTGTAGATTTGTTATGATTATCTTCATGTGAATTAATATATGCCCAGGAGAAACAATGCTAACTAACGGATTCCGGTTCGGATTTCGTCGGAATCCGTTACAATCCGACAGAACTCGGTCGGATTTTCGACGGATCCTGTAGAATCCGTTAGTTAGGATTCTGGTGAAATTTCGACGTGTTCCGATCGGAATTATACGGAAACGACGGAATCCGGTCGGGCGTGATTGACCAGGGTGACTTCACAATTCATTTCTTATCCGAGTTATGTATTAAATTTTTAAATGAAAACTTATTAAGTGTCATATTTGTATTAGAATTTAAATTACTATTTACTACATCTGTTTTATTATTATTTGTTGTTGTATTTAGGTTATTCACTGAAGTATTATTCAATTGAGTATTGGTGGTAGTGGATATCTTCTTTTTGGAAATTGACTTAATAAAAGAAATTATCTTTGGATTGCGTTTTGTCAACAGATGACCAATTTTATAATGTGAAATGACAGATAGTTCAATATCTGAAATAATTTCTGGTGGTATAATATTAATATTATTATTTTGGTTCTTATTCAGTTGGAAATTCGATTTATTTTTTAAAATATTCTTTCGTTTATCTAATTATGTTGTTCTTCATAAACTATAAATTGGGGATAGATCGATTTAAGTGATTCAATTGTCGGATAATTGTTCATTGGAATTTCGTTAAAGATTATTTTTTTATTTTTACATACTTTTACAAGGAGTATGATATTTATGATTATCTATATCTGATAGATGTACTGATGATGCACGAATCGAGAAAGAAACAAGTGATCAGTTTTACGTTCTAATTGAAAGTTATCATCGATACCTTTAACAGGAGTGAAAGGACAGTTATAAGAAATGGTAAGATATTCACATCATCGGCGAGGGCTGAATACAATTTCCAATTGGAATATAGAACAGATGATTTTTTTTCTTTCTTTTTCTTTTTTTCTTTGTGATTCACTTAACATCTTGTCTTGATAATGAAGGATTAACCTTCGAAACGTTGACAAAATCTTTTTTTTGTAATTTATATTTATTAAAAAAATAAATTACTGTTGAATCAAATTCATTAAATTTTTATTGATTTTTTTCAAAATTAATATTTAAATTAAATAATGAAA